TTAAAAAGAAAAGGCAAAAACTGCTCAGTAAATTCCAACTCTAACAAATCCTAAAACAGTATCAGAGACAAACCATTAAGTGAAAAATCACAGTTCACAGATCAAAATGTGTAATAATGTGAACTATGTTAAAAAAACAAACAAAAAAAAGAATGTACCCATATAAAACAGCCTAGAAGAACACTCAAAAGCACTGGTCTTGGTTTTCTCTGACAAAGGACACTATATGGTTCCCAATTCCCATAGTCATTATTTTTCTCAGACACATATATCAATAAAAGTTAAAGATACTTCCACTTGCCGGGATGAGTAAAATAAAATAGATGATTCCATATTCCAGGCAATATATAGACTAGTCATCTCAAATATTTTGAACATGCTGAGAAAAAAAATTAAGTACCTTCTCCACATGTGTATTCAAGTTGTATACATACTGTATTGTGCATTAAGAAACAAAAAGTTATAAAATGACGTGATAAAAAGAAGAGAGCATATTTCACAGAATTAGCTAAATGTTATGTTCAAAATAACATATACTCAGGATCACAGATTCAAAATTATAATTATTTAAAATTACAGATTCAAATTGTCATATCTGTTTGCCATAAAGGAGCATGAAGTGCTGACATGTGCTGCAACCTGGAAAAACCTTGGAGATGTTACGCCAAGTGAAATAAGCCAGGTGCAAAAGGTATTGATTGATTCCAGGCATCTGAGATGTCCACAACAGGCAAACCGACAGAGACAAAAAGTAGATGGGTGGTTGTCAGGAGCTGGGGAACGGTGGGAGTCTAAGAGACAGGGTTGGTCCCTTTTTGGAGTAGTGAAAACAGACTGAAATTAGATAGCAGTGGTGATTGCAGAATATTGAGGATATACTAATAAACCCTGACCTGTGCCCTCTTAAGAGGATAAATGTTATGGTTTGTGAACCATCTCTCAATTTTTTAAAGGTGTCAGTAAGTAAATCAATAAGCCAGGGGAAAAATCATTCACATCTCCCTAGCCTGTCACGGGCTTCCCTCACAATGTGTTGGCCATTTCTTTGTGGTTTGCTCGGGCCTGTATTAATCATCTGGAGCTTCCCTGCAGGAATCTTGTAAAACCACCTGCCTTCTTTATGAGGTTAATTTAGTTAAATAACATCCCTAAAACCAGTCACCTAGACACTCATAAAACACAGTCTGTATTCCAGTGTTTCGAAAATAAACAATCACAGAATTCTGACTCCTTCTGCAGGACGCTTCAAGGACTGTACCTGACAAATGTCCATCTGGTAAATCGAGTGAGGGTCCCAGGGTCAATCTTCATGCTCCCAGTAAGGTTTAAATTTCACTTTAATTTTGAAGATGGAAATGAAGTATGAGTGAACTCTCAAATCTTTCCTTCCTACACCTCCATGGGTCACCTTGCACCCTCTGTTTTGGAGTTTACAGATCTAGGACAGTGATATTTTGAAAAATAATGGCGGACCTTAGATTCAAGGTGGGCTTCCCAGCTGGCGTGGTGATAAAGAATCCCCCTGCCAATGCAGGAGAAGCAGGATCGATCCCTGGGTCAGGAAGATCCCCTGGAGAAGGAAATGCAACCCACTCCAGTATTCTTGCCTGGGAAATCCTATGGACCGAGGAGCCTGGTGGGCTACAATCCATGGGGGTCACAAAAGAATCAGACATGGCTTAGCAACTAAACAACAATTAGATTCAAAGTAGCTGTAGTACCTCCGCTGTACTTTGGAATCACCTGGTTCACCTGTTAAAATTTGTAAGTCCAGCTGCCACTCCTGGAGATTCTGACTCGGTCCCTGGCCATCTCACACAGGAGTTCCAAACGCTGTATTCAGGAGACACTGTTATAAACATCCTATTATTAAACTCTAAAGGGCAGATGGATGACTAGAGGCTCAGGAGAATCCCACTTGGTGGGGGGGAGGGGCGGGGCGGGGCAGGTATGGTCTAAGATTGGATTGTGGGGATGATTCCATAACTCTGTAAATTTACTTGAAGAAAGCATTAAACAGTATACTTAACATCGCTAAATGTTATGGTATGTATGTTATACTTCAATAAAGCTGTTTAAAAAAACAAAACACAGGAAAGGCTTCATACTTGTCACAAAAGGATCCATGTGTTTACTGCAGGCTTTTCCCTATCCAGAGAAGGGTGCAGACGGCCTCCCTGGGGGCAGGGTGTGTCCACACCAGCCCCAGCCTCTCCCCATCACACCCCCTCTCCATCACACCCCGTTCTTTTAAACTGAAGGCCAGGATGGGCAAGTCAATTTACAAGCCTCTGCTAAGGAAGGGCGATGAGGGGTCATGGTAAAATATGTTGTTTTCTGACTTTCAGCACTTGAGAGGCTTATCTGCGCTCCCCCAAAAATGGGCCACAAAGCTGAACTAGACAAATATCCTGAGAAAGGGTGGCTTCTGTCAATACCACAAGCTCTTAAAAATACCACCAGAAGGGGCAGGGCTGTGCCTCCCCACCAGGGCACGTACTGCAGCATGAAACTGTCTAATGTGACCGTCGGCAGGCCAGCACCGCTGACACGGGGCTCCGGGGGAGGCGGGACCCGGAGGGGCTGACAAGCCTGACGATCCACACGGTGATCCCTGCTGGGGAGTCTGGAGGGCACTGGGGGCCGGTTCAGAGGGAAGACTACTCCAAGACACAGCAGTGAAGTGGCTCACATTGCCTGGAAAGCTGCAGGCCATGGTGTGTTGGGGTGAGTGGGAGGAGAGGCTGAACCACGGAAGAGGGTGGGGAGGGGATGCAGGCCACGCTGGATGCCGCAGACCCTGCTGCCAGGACCAGGGTGGGGAGGAAGGAAGCAGGGAATCTTGCAGAGGGTCTCTGCAGACAGCCAGGCAAGGGAGAGTGCAGCTTCTGCCTAGTGAGTGAGGGGATGACAACCGAAGCCAAGCGGACGGTCTGGGGGCCGGGCCTGCGACTGCAGGCAGGCGGCCACGGGGCAGGAAGCAGGGGCATTTCCCAAACCCCTGGACGGAGCTCACAGGCCAAAGGGGCATGGTGCTTACAAAGACGAGAACGACGTCACACAACCACGTAGGGGATGCAGGGAGAAGGATGGGATGTGGGCACACTGCCCTCCTGACGCCTGAGCGGGGATGCCAAGGATTCCAGGCTAAAGCTCCAGATCGGGTCGATGCAGACCTGGAAGCCACCAGCTCTGACAGGGCGGCAGAAGCTGGCCAAGAGGGGAGCCCCCTAGAGACTAACACACGGAGCCCAGTAGAGACCACGACACGACGGAGGAAGACGAGTCAGGCGAGGGGGCAAGGAACTAGGGTGGGCTGCGGCTTCTCCCCCCAGCCCAACCACGTCCTTGTGATTTTCTAACAGTCTGAAAGTCCATCTTTGAGAAAGGTCCACGGATACGCTTGGAGTGAAGCCACAATGCCCACACCAGCAGCAGAGAATGGCAGGTGCTTCGCGGCTGGCTGTAGGAAGTGACTCGACATGGATCGAATGAGCTGTTCTTCACTTAAAATCCACCCTCGCTTCCAGCTCTGTTCCCTGCCCTGCCATGTTCAGGAGACACCCCGGAAACCCAGGTGTGCCCCCCAGGAAATGTCCTGGAAAATTAAATGTTGACTCTAATCGTGCCACTAAGCATTGAGAGAGTCCATCTCTAATCCTTACACAAAAATACACTTTTAACTGGCCTTCTGACTACAGAATCACTATCTACTCGGATACATTAAAGCAAAAAATGGTTTCTTTATTATCTTGTCCTCAAACCAGTGTCATAACCCCGTAGCTGGTCTAACGCAATCTATGTTAGCTCTGGGTGTGTTTTCAGAATTACCAAGGGAATTGCTTCTTTATCATCTTCCCTTTAACACAGAGAAGTGCAGGTTCTCCTGGCATCTGAATGAGTCATAATCTCTAAGGTATTAGGCCCATGTCAAAGTCTTTTGTTTTGCTTTTATTCTACTTGTTTTTTAAAACATCACTAGGAATTCTGATGAGCAGCCAAGGTGGACATCCACTGGTCTAACATTTTAGGACACTTACAAGTAATATCTTTCTCCAAAAAAAAAAAAAATGACTGGTTTTGAAAAATCTTGTAGCAGGGGAAAAAACCAGGAGCAGATAAATTGATAGTCATTTCTGATCATTTCTTCCACTAGACTGCTGAGTTGAAAAGAGATGACAAACTAAAGCTCATCAGTTACACCATAATTATGTCACAAGCAGTCCATTACTGATTGCTTTTGCTCATAACTGGGGAAAAGGAAAAAGCAAACATGTCTATAAACTTGAAGGAGAAGCATTAGGTTCTCAGAGCTTTTTCTGGTGCTGCTGCTGCTGCTGCTAAGTCGCTCAGTCGTGCCTGACTCTGTGGGACCCCACAGACGGCAGCCCACCAGGCTCCCCCGTCCCTGGGATTCTCCAGGCAAGAACACTGGAGTGGGTTGCCATTTCCTTCTCCAATGCAGCAAAGTGAAAAGTCAAAGTGAAGTCGCTCAGTTGTGTCCTACTCTTAGCGACCTCATGGACTGCAGCCCACCAGGCTCCTCCACCAACGGGATTTTCCAGGCAAGAGTACTGGAATGGGTGCCATTGCCTTCTCCGTTTCTGGTACTAGTTATTGGCAAATAATTTTCTTCCATGTCTCCCCTATCATCCATTAGTAGTAGTTCAGTAAATCAACCCTTGGGATGAGGAAGTGGGAAAAAACCTTCAACCACAGGTTTAATCAAAATACGAAGAATCAGTGATTGCCAGGGGCCTGGAAGGAAAGGTGGTGGGGGCGGGGGGGGGAAGCGAGGAGTGACTGCTCATTGGTACAGGAGTTCTTTTTCAGGTGATGAAGACAGAACAGATTGTGGCGAGGGTCACATAACTCTGAGTATTCAAAACAACCCACTGAGTTGTACACATTTAACGGATGAATCATATGAATTCTTCCCAATACAGATGTTAGTAAATATTTTTAAAACTCACTTTGGGTATCGAAACAGAAGGCTTTACCTGGGTGTAAATACTAAAAATGTGGCTTTGAACTTCATCCATTGAGTCGAGGCCATAGGCTACCGTGCCGAGATGGAGCCGTTTGAAAACCATCTCATTCTGGGTAAGAGTTCCTGAAACACAAAACAAGGAGTAACTGTGTCTACATCCTGGAGCTCTTATTAACAGTAACTAAAGCTGTTTTTTTTTTTTTTTTTGAGACTTTACTCTATGTCACACCCTGGTTTTGGCACTGCTCCTGTTGGAGTAGACATCTGTGATAGTCTGTCAGCCTGGAATCCGAGAACTTCATCTAAAAACAGAACCTTAAGGTTCCAGGGGAATGACCATCCTTGGTCCCTGGGATGGTCTAGAGAAAATGCCAATCAGGGTGCCTGACTCATTCCATTGGCCAAGAGGGCGGGACATGATATACACGAGGCCAATCAGATTCTATCGTGAAGGGATCAAAACCTTGACCAGAGAGACGCACAGACAACAGATGAGTCGAGTCGAGTCAAGAGACCATCCTGATACTGACACAGCCAGAACTTGCCAGGTTCTTCTCCTTCCTGAAATCTACTTTTGCTCTGACTTCCCGGATCTTTGTGACAGATCCCCTTCTATCCCATGTTCACTAGATGGTAGAGATGAAGGTTAAACCCAGGTCTCCTCACTTGCTCTCAACCACTACAACAACCTTATAACTTGACAGGTGTTAAACTGTAAAGCGGCATTTTGAGATGTGGTTTCGAGGTCAGGACTTGAAGCCAGTCTGTCTGAGTTCAAAGCCTACTTCTGCCACTATGTGCTTCTGACAAGTCACATAACCACGAAGTCACTTAGTAACTCCAAACTCACAACATCAGGGAAGGATTAAGTGACTATATATGGACACCCAGAACAGTGCTTTTCCACACGATTAGCACTAAGGCTTTAATGCTATCATCATCATGTCCACCAAGGAGTCTATCTTCACCCAAAGATGAAGAGGATAAAAGAACTGCAACACTCATCTCTAAAACCTCCAGAAAGATACTCCAAGCATCTTCTTTGACTTTGAATTCTGCAAGGGTCCTGGACACTCACCAGTCTTGTCTGTGAGTAGGTAGGAAATCCTCCCCAGCTGCTCCGGAATCGTGCTGGAGCGAACCACGGTCCCAGGGATTTTTGAGTCCCTGCGAATGACCCAGCTGTACACGATCTTGCCCATGTCCAGGTTCACACGCAGGCTGACAGAAAACCAGAGCACACAGGTTAACAGGATACACACAAACAGCTGATTGTTCTCTCAACACTGATTCTAAAACACACATCGTGGGCGCCGTAACATTCGGCACAAATGAGACCCCACCTGTTCCGGGTCACCCCTTTATAACGGACCAGCTCCTTCTCAAAACCACAAAAGCATGACCTTCGAATAAACAGAGATGTGTAGACGCCGCGGCAGCAGCTCGCTCTCAGCGCACCTGATGGGAATGATGTTGGAGAACAAGAGAAGGAAGCGGATGATCTGCAGGTACCAACGCCCGGCGAAGTGCTGGAGGGCGACCATGACCAGCGACACCACCACCAGGGCTCCGAAGAGGATCTTCGTGAGGCAGTTCACCTCCAGGTCGAACAGGCCGATCTGCGGGACGGCACAAGGGTGGAAGCGCGCGATGAGCCGGCATAGCCACAGCCGGCCCGGGGGTCTGAGGGCGGCACGCGGACGGACACATGATGGGCCGGCGCAGCCACAGCCCGCCCGGGGTCTGAGAGCAGCACGCGGACGGACACGCGCTATGAGCCCGACGGGGCCTGAGGGCGGCACGCGGACAGACACGTGATGAGCCGGTGCAGCCACAGCCCACCCGGGGTCTGAGCGCGGCCCGCGGACGGACACGTGATGAGCAGGTGCAGCCACAGCCCACCCGGGGTCTGAGAGCAGCACGCGGACGGACACGCGCTATGAGCCGCACGGGAGCCGGCCCCGCTGGGGCCTGAGGGCGGCACGCGGACAGACACGTGATGAGCCGGTGCAGCCACAGCCCGCCCGGGGGGTCTGCGGGACGGCACGCGGGCGGACACGTGATGAGCCGGCGCGGCTACAGCTCGCCCGGGGGGCTGGGCCTCCCCGGGAACCTGGGCCTCCCCGGGAACCTGCACCCGTGGGTGAGACAGCGGGCTCTGCGGAGCCCCACATCTCTGGGAGAGAATACTGGGCTCCACGGGCTAACCGACATCCCAGGGACCTCAAGGAATCTCATTTTGATTTTTTCTTAACAATTAAAGATTTAGCTTGGAAACACATAAGCGGGTTACTGCTGCCTTCAGGGGTGCTGTGCACTGCATGGCCTCAACCATGCCCCCAGCGACCTGTGAAATGACCCAGTTGTACACCACGCACTGGTTCCCTATTGCCTGGAGATTCAGGGCAAACACCACCAGTGGCATCTGATTTTTAGGTGCTGCGTTAATGAACATTATTACTTTAATGACTATCTATTTATCTTAAAGCATGTTTTAAAAAAAATGGAACCAGCCCATGAAACCCATCACTTTGCAGAAACATGGCCCCAGATAAGGCTAAAACCTCAAATAAGTGGCATTTATAGTTGTAATATAGTTGGATATATGTAATAAACTTGTACATATGTAATATAGTTGGATAAATGTAATATAGTTAGAGTACAAAATGAAGCAGGGCAAAGGCTAACAGATTTTTGCCAAGGGAACACACTGGTCATAGCAAACACCCTCTTCCAACAACACAAGAGAAGACTCTACACATGGACATCACCAGGTGGTCAATAAAGAAATCAGACTGATTATATTCTTTGCAGCCAAAGATGGAGAAGCTCTATACAGTCAGCAAAAACAAGACCGGGAGCTGACTGTGGCTCAGATCATGAACTCCTTATTGCCAAATTCAGACTTAAATTGAAGAAAGTAGGGAAAATCAGTAGACCATTCAGGTATGACCTAAATCAAATCCCTTATGATTATACAGTGGAAGTGACATAGAGATTCAAGGGATTAGATCTGATAGAGTGCCTGAAGAACTATGGACAGAGGTTCGTGACATTATACAGGAAGCAGGAATCAAGACCATCCCCAAGAAAAATAAATGTAAAAAGGCAAAATGGTTGTCTGAGAAGGTCTTACAAATAGCTGTGAAAAGAAGGGAAGCGAAAGTCAAAGGAGAAAAGGAAAGATATACCCAGAATTCCAAAGAATAGCCAAGAGAGATAAGAAAGTCTTCCTCGGTGATCAATGCAAAGAAATAGAGGAAAACAAAAGAATGGGAAAGACTAGAGATCTCTTCAAGAAAATTAGAGATACCAAGGGAACATTTCATACAAAGATGGGCTCAATAAAGGACAAAAATGGTATGGACTTAACAGAAGCATTAGATATTAAGAAGAGGTAGCAAGAATACACAGAAGAACTGTACAAAAAAGATCTTCATGACCCAGATAATCACGATGGTGTGATCACTCACCTAGAGCCAGACATCCTAGAAAGTGAAGTCAAGTGGGCCTTACGAAGCATCAGTATGAACAAAGCTAGTGGAGGTGATGGAATTCCAGTTGAGCTATTTCAAATCCTGAAAGATGATGCTGTGAAAGTGCTGCACTCAATATGCCAGCAAATTTGGAAAACTCAGCAGTGGCCACAGGACTGGGAAAGGTCAGTTTTCATTTTAATCCCAAAGAAAGGCAGTGCCAAAGAATGCTCGAACTACCGCAGAATTGCATTCATCTCACACACTAGCAAAGTAATGCTCAAAATTCTCCAAGCCAGGCTTCAACAGCACGTGAACCATGAACTTCCAGATGTTCAAGCTGCATTTAGGAAGGGAAGAGGAACCAGAAATCAAATTGCCAACATTTGTTGGATCACAGAAAAAGTAAGAGAGTTCCAGAAAGACATCTACTTCTGCTTTATTGACCACACCAAAGCCTTTGACTATGTGGATCACAACACACTGTTAAGAATCCTCAAAGAGATGGAAATACCAGACCACCTTACCTGCCTCCTGAGAAATCTATATGCAGGTCAAGAAGCAACAGTTAGAACCAGACATGGAACAGCAGACTGGTTCCAAATTGGGAAAGGAGTAAGTCAAGGCTGTATATTGTCACCCTGATTATTTAACTTATATATGCAGAGTACATCATGCAAAATGCCAAGCTGGATTAAGCACAAGCTGGAATCAAGATTGCTGGGAGAAATATCAATAACCTCAGATACGCAGATGACACCACCCTTATGGCCGAAGCAAAGAGGAACTAAAGAGCCTCTTGATGAAAGTGAAAGAGGAGAGTGAAAAGGCTGGCTTAAAACTCAACATTCAAAAAATTAAGATTATGGCATCTGGTCCCATCACTTCATGACAAATAGATGAGGAAACAGTGGAAACAGTGACAGACTTAATTTTTTTGGACTCCAAAATCACTGCAGATGGTGACTGCAGCCATGAGATTAAAAGATACTTGCTCCTTGGAAGAAAAGCTATGACCAACCTAGAGCATATTTAAAAGAAGAGATACTACTTTGCTGACAAAGGTCCATCTAGTCAAGGCTATGGTTTTTCCAGGAGTCATGTATGGATGTGAGAGTTGGACGATAAAAAAGCTGACTACTGAAGAATTGATGCTTTTGAATTGTGGTGTTGGAGAAGTCTCTTGAGAGTCCCTTGGACTGCAAGGAAATCAAACCAGTCCATCCTAAAGGAAATCAGTACTTAATAGTAATTAGAAGAACTGTTCCTAAATATGAAGCTCCAATACTTTGACCACCTGATATGAAGAACTGACTCATTTGAAAAGACCCTGATGCTGGGAAAGATTGAAGGCAGGAGGAGAAGGGGACGACAGAGGATGAAATGGTTGGATGGCATCACTGACTTGATGGACATGAGTTTGAGTAAGCTCCAGGAGTTGGTGATGGACAGGGAGGCCTGGCGTGCTGCAGTCCATGGGGTCGCAAAGAGTCAGACAGGACTGAGTGACTGAACTGAACTGATAGTTGTAATGATGGTGGTCATGGGGACTGTAATGGTGGGATGATGTGACTGATATTTGTTCATGGTACTGAAATCATTCTGCAATATTCTGACTCTAAGAAACTGGAGGAGGGGTGGGGCTGGGAGTGAGGGCCCTCGTGTATTCGAGCAGTAACAGGGCCATTAGGTGGACCCCAGAACTGACCCCGTGGACCGTGCCAAAGCAAGCAGCTCCGTGTGGGTTTGAATCCAGGTCTACGCAGCTTCACCAGAGCGCAGTGCTTCTTAGGCCACTTCTCCTCTTGGGAAGAGGCTGCAGCCGTGTGCTGACAGGCTGCTCTAGTACTCCATGTGGCAAACAGCAAGGACTCAACTGTGGTTGTTCAGTCGCTAAATCATGTCTGACTCTGTGTGACTCCATGGACTGCAGCCCCACCAGGCTCCTCCGTCCATGGGATTTCCCAGGCAAGAACACTAGAGTAGGTTGCCATGCCGGCCTCCAGGGGATCTTCCCAACCCAGGGAGTGAATCAGTCTCCGGCACTGGCAGGTGAATTCTTTCCTGCTGAGCCACGTGGGGAGCCCCTCGGGACTCAATACTTCATTTTAAACCTTAAAATGTTATGTGTTCACACACAGGCGTTCCTTGTTTACCTGCAGAGAGCTCTGCAGGTGCCGTGTGTTTTTACAAATTGAAGGTGTGTGGCAACCCTGTGTTGCCAGATGACTGTTAGTATTTTCTAGCAACAAAGTATTTTTATTGTACGTACATTTCTTGACACAATGCTTTTACTGCACACTTTAACAGACTATAGAATAGTGTAAACATAACTTACAGGCACTGGGAAACCAAAATATTTATGTGACTTGCTTTGTAGTGCTACGCCCTTGACGTGGTGGTCTGGAACCCAACCACAGTATCTTCAAACACGAATTTGAATATGTGTTTATGTATGGTGTGTGCATAAATACATATACGGGCTTCGCAGGTGGTGACGGGGTAAAGAATCTGCCTGTAAGAGACCCAAGTTCAACCCCTGGACTGGGAAGATCCCCTGGAGGAGGGCATGGCAACCCACTCCAGCATTTTCACCTGGAGAATCCCACGGACGGAGGAGCCTGGCGGGCTACAGTCCATGGGCTGGCGAAGAGTCAGACACGACTGAGGTGACTTAGCACAGCACACACACACACACACACACACACACACACGCAGTAAGTTTATACAAGTGAAGTCACACTTTTAGGGGTTCCTGTGTCTTGCTCGTCATCCCACCAACACCAATCATCAAACCACATCAGTCAGAAAGTTCTGGCAAGAAAACACGTCCTACGGCCGTGTACACACCTTACTTCGAGGATTCGAGGTGTTCATGACACTCCGGAGTTCTCTCCCCGTGTAAAGAACAACACCCACGACGGTACCTACGACGAAGAAAACACAAGCCAGAGAAGTGTAAGTCCCAACAGGCAGGCTTTCAGAGGGTCTGCCGCGCTCCAGCCTCCGCAGTTCAAGAAAGTCCCCGACTTACATCAGGGCCAACCAACGTCCTGCCCACAGACGGGAGGAAAGCTCCCAGCCGCATGTGCCCATTCACATTTAAATTCAGTGGACAAAAAAAGTGAAACACAGCCCCCATCTTCATTAGCCTCAACAGCCACAGCAGGCCAGTGGCGGCCACCAGGTCAGTGAAGACACGGCATCCCCGCTACTGCTGAACGCGCCACTGCTCAGGGCTTCCCCGCCGTCCAGCGGAGAAGAATCCGCCTGGCAATGCAAGGGACAGCAGCTCGACCCCAGGGCTGGGAAGACCCACACGCCGCAGGGCACCTAAGCCCGCGCCCCACCTCCTGAGCCCGCGCTCGAGCACCTGCGGGCCTTACCAGCTGAGCCGGGTCCACAGAGCCCACGCGGGCAACAAGAAGCACACTCTGCAACCAGAGAGCCCCGGTGCAGCCACGAAGGTCCAGTGCGCAAAAAATAAATATACATTAATGTAAAAAAAAAAGCATCACCGGGCACTGCTGGCCTGCAGGCCTGGCCACCTCGGAGAACAGGAGAGGTGGAGGGGAGGGGGCCTGTGCTTTACGCCACTGGCCTCAGAGGCTTCCAGAGGTGCCTGCAACTTCACAAACTACCCTGGAAACCTATGAACACGCCCCTCTTATCAGAGCACGTTCCTCCCACGGGCTGTGATTCCGCTCAGAGTCGGGGTGCAGCCAGAACCTTTGGCAGACGTCTGGATGGCAGCTCTTTCCTGAGAGCCCCCCTACCCCTTCCTTCCATCCCTCTGTCATCATTTGTTTTTTAAAAAGACATCAATTATAAAAAATTTATAAAAGAAAACCCAAAAGCCCATTAACATCAGAAAAGATGCTTACCCTACTCAAAAACCAAAAAAACTGGGAAATTCTTATTCCCATCCTCGTAATAAAAATTCAGAAGCATGGGAACAGCAGCGTGAGCCAAGAGGTGGGGACGTGGACTGGCACACACGCTGCTGGCTAGGGCGTCCGCTGGAACAGCCTACCTGGGGCGGGAAGCGGGCATTACTGTCAGAAACGCACCTCTGTCTCCCCTTTTCAGGATGTGCCAGGGAAATGCTGCGCACAGCGGGGCAGGTGCAGAGTGAAGGGCAGCAGCACCGCAGTCTGCACGGGGCTGGTGGGCGCCCCGATGGACCCAGGAGAGAAACCGACGGGAGGGACTGGGAGGGGCCAGTGAGCGCCGGCGACCAGGAACGCGGGCTCAGAGCGGAGGACATCTAAGCTGGAACCCGACACAGGAGAAGGGGCAGCCCCGCCAAGCCCCACCAAGCACTCAGGGAAGACCCCAGGACACAAACAGCCTGGCCCCGATAAAGGAGCCCGTAAGCCCCTCCCGCTGGCCCCTCGGCTCTCGGCACAGCGCCGGCAGGGGGCGCACCCCAACCTCCAGGAGAGTCAGAGTCGCCAAAGGAGCGCAGCCCCGATAGAGTGCCGGGCCGAGCCTCTCGGCAGACACCCCAGGGGAGACACCGAGGGCCCCTGAGTCGATGCACAGTCTTCTGCACAGTGCAGTTCCCTTCCAGGGAGGCGCTCGGCAGGCGGAGGGCTGGGGAGACAGCCTGCCCGCTCCCAGGCAGACGGCAGGCCCCAGCGAGTGCAGGCCGACCCCCGCAGACCCCCGCAGACGGGGGGAGCTGAGCTTGGGCCACGCAGGGGTGGCCATGCGCCCACGACTCTCACCGCAGGGCAGGCACGGGTTGGTCTCAACCCCCAGCGCCCAGGGTTCTAGCGAGTCCTAGTAACAGGGGTCCCCGAGGACACCGTCTCCCCATCTAGTACTGGCCAATCCTGGTGCCTTCAAAGGCTGCTGGAGATGCCCTCTCCCCCACACCCCGCTGTGCCCAGGACCGAAACTGTCTCCAGGAGAAGCAGACCCCAGCCTCAGCCACCCCGCCAGAGCACGCCAGCGCCAGTCCACAGAGCCGCGCTCATCTGGTCTGCCCAGGGCTCGAAAGCTTTGTTTAACTTCCGGCTGTGCGGGGTCTTCACTGTCGCGGGTGGGCTTTCTCAAGCTGCAGCAAGTGAGTAGGGGGCGGTATGGCTACTAAGTTGTGGTGCACAGGCTTAGTTGTCCCACGGGACACGGAACCTTCTCAGACCAGGAACTGAACCCACATTCCCTGCATTTGCAGGTGGATTCTTAACCGCTGGGCTACCACGGAAGTCCCTAAAGGTTCTGAAGTAGTTGCCAACTTTTAAATACAGGAGCTTTCATATTAACTATATATATGTATATACATAAGTAGAGATTTCTGGCTTCTTCTGGAAAACTGGAAGATCTGAGGCCACTGGGTCTACAGTCCTCACTGCATCTCCAGCGGGTGCTAAGCTCAGCCACCCCGTTTGGCCAGGCTCCCGCTTTCTGCTCATCATGGTCCCCGCTCAGCCCTTAAGACCCCCTGCCCTGCACCCCTCCGCTCCCCCAGACCACAACCCCACTTCTGAGGCTACATTCCCGGCGGCTCCCCTCACACGGCCCCACCCTCAGCCGCCTGCCCACCGTGGTGTCCACTCCATCCTGCCCGCCAGGGTCTCCAACCAGCCAGGTATTTCCCCCAGCCCCTGAGACCCTCCACTGCAGTGTGCTGCCAGGGACTTCTGACCCCGTCTGAGATGAGAGAGAGGGTGAGCCCCAGAAAGGGAGGATTCGACACATTTACAGCAACCAGACGCCGCCCTGACACGAGTCTGCGATTCCGGGACGAGCCCCGAGGAACAGGGAACAGACCAGTGGGCATTATCAGACCCGCGTGGTGTGACCCGCATGCTGGTCACAGTTCAGCCCCAGCAGGGCCGCCGACTGACCCGCTGCACTCTGGGGGTGTCCCTTTCCACGGAGTCTGAGAAGAACCGGGATCCGCGACGCCCAGGCTCCGCTTCTGCCAAGCCCCACCAGCCTCCCCCGCCTATCATCACCCCAGTGACTCCTCAGCCTAGCAGCCCAGTTACCATGGCAACTGTATCCTCTGCAGACTGATGCCAGCCAGTGCAGCTGGACCCTTAGCACTGCCTGGCAAGCTTTTTTATTCTTTAAATATCCAACTGATAATGGTGCAGTGACCAAGACACGGGAATTAGATTCTGAAGGGAACACAGAAGTGAAATCTCAAATAATCAAGATTTCTCTCGAGGGCTGCTTCTGGAGTTGAGCACCGGAAGGAGGGAATGGCTTCATTTAACTCCGTGTTTACATTAGAACCAGAGTGTGGTCAGACATCCACCCGGGGAGAAGCCGGGGCCTGTTAAAGAAACGGTCACCGCCCAGCTCCTCCGACCCACTACAAAGCAGACGTCCACTGCAGGGCGTGGCAGGCACTGCTTCTGGATTGGGGGTCACGGCTCTCTCTCGTCCCACCTCACCAAACACAAGGAATTCCCACAAGTGGGGAAACGCATGTTTTAACGTCACAGCGCATTTCTGAGGACTGCGTGAAATCTTTCTTCCATCTTCAAGGTCTCCCTGCGCCTTCCCTTCTCCTCCCAGAAGACGACCTCTCCAAGGCTGTGCGACCTTCGGCAAGGCGCTCGACCTCTCTGAGACTCAGTTCTTTATTCCACTAAGTGCCCTCATTTAATGTTGTGCGATCGAAACAAGAGAACGGAAGATAAAACACTCTGTACACAACAGGGCCTGACAAATAAGCCTTCTCAGTGCCAATCTCCAAAATTAAGGCTGAGGAGCTGCGCCCATCTCTGCCCACGGGCCCTGAGTCTGTGGATGGCAGCCCGGGCAGAGGCTGTGCGGGTCCCGCTCCTTGTCAGAGAGCATCCTGACCACACCTGCTGTACCGAAGAGCCACAGAGCGGCAGCAGGCAGAGGGAAGCGGCTGGGCGCGGGAGTGGGGCAGGCAGCGGACTGCTCCCACAGTTGCCAGTGGTGGAATTACATGTTAATAACAGTATGTACTATTACATATTGGGTTGGCCAAAAAGTTTGTTTGGGTTCTTCATAAGATGTTACAGAAAAACCCAAACAAACTCTTTGGCCAACCCAATAACATACATAATATAGTGATAACAGGAGAACAGAGTTCTGCTTCTGGGGCAAAACGCCTGGGCTCAAGTCATGCTGTGTGACCTCGGGCAAGTTACTTAGCCTCACCAACCCTCAGTTTCCCTGTCTGCAGCACGGGGGTGAAGCCAGCACCTGCCCGCAGGGCACGGCTGGGAGGGTTAAGTGAACCACGTGACACACAGCAGGTGCCGACAGACGGGCGGTCCCACCGCCATCACTCCAGCTGCCCCAGGCACGCTCAGCCCCTGGAGCCCTTCCCCTCAGCTGCACCCCAGTGTCCCAACCTCTTCTTCCCGCTCCTCAACAGGTCGTCCCGCAAACTCTGTTCTGGGGTCCAGATGACCAGACAATTTCTACATCACCTTGGAGTCTCCAACACCAGAGCACCATCAGGACCAGCTGAGGAGCCCTCAGAGATGCAAGAGCCCGGACATCCAGGCTGACCCACTTTCTGGTTCAGATTAGGATGTCAATCTCACGTGGCAATTAGGGGCTATTCCCAGCGCGGACGCTGTGGCCGAGTCCACAGGCCAGGGCGGACTCCTCTCAGACGCCTCCAAGCACCGGGGGCCAATTAGATGGCCATTGCACTCCCCGGGGGTGCAGGAGCCAGTGGAAAATGCCATTTGACTGACAGCTCATTTTCCCCACTGACAGATGATTATTCTCATTATACCGAAGGATTTGCTTTCCTCTTCAAATTGCTAACACATTCCTCCGTGAGGGCACATACCTGACGCGGTGACTGTGCCGGCCCAGAGTGCGTTCTCTATGCTCAGGCTCTCGCTGATCGGGGGGTCACTGTCCTCCTGCAAAAGAGCAGACGGACACAGGCTGACCCACCCAGGTCCGCACAGAGCCCGCTGCCGTCTCCAGCCTGCTCTTTGCACAAGAGGAAGAGAGGATGACCCCCACATGTGGAAGCCAACAGCCCCGCCGGGAGACAAGGATCATAAACCCTTATCCTTGGTGCTTCCGCCCCACAGAAATACTTGAAAACAGTGGTTCGTGATTTAAGAAATGCAGGCTTCCAGCACTGGAGAAACATTTCACAAGTTGGGAATGATAATGGAGAGGGAAATCCATCAGAAACAGCCCTTTGCTGGCCTGTCTGAGGGCTTTTAGAACAAGCGCAGGAACAATTCATTACGGGTTCCACAAACCTATAATCTCAGATGCCTAAAATAATTCAAATCCAAATTTAATTTCTATTCTGAAAGGTTGGGATATGGTTTAAAAGTTATAACCATGGTGGACAGGACTTGGAGGAAAAGACCCTGATGCTGGGAAAGACTGAAGGCCGGAGGAGGAGAGGACGATAGAGGATAAGATGGCTGGATAGCATCACCGACTCGATGGACATGAGTTTGAGCGAATTCTGGGAGACGGTGACAGACAGGGAAGTCTGGCGTGCTGCAGCCTATGGCGTCCCAAAGAGTCAGAAATGACTGAGTGATGAACAATAGCAACGAATGGGCTCACGTGAAAAAGACAGAGTAACATTAATTACAAGAACACTTGGCTCTAAGTAGTCAGGTGACAAAAGCTGTCGGGAGGCTGAAGAAATTTCCAGTTGTGTTGCTTTTACTGAGAAGCAGTTTTCAAGGTGGAGTCTTCTGATGGGGACGTCACCTCCACGTCACACAGAGCTACCCCCCGACAAAGCCCTGCCGGCACTGGGAAGCGGGCCCGCACCCCGGTCATGTGCCCCCCAGACAGGACCCTACACGCCTCGAGGCTTACTCACTCGGGTGAAGGTCCCCACGAAGTTGTGAATGTCGATGTTCGGCTCTTCCGCATACACATACGAGCGAATCTGAAGAAGGTCCTGACCCACGGAGGTGACATTTTGGAGGTAAAACAAAGTCAGCACATGATTAAAAGGGATTTGGGGAAGCATCCGCTGTTTTTCAGAAGCAATTGTACTTTCCAAACAGGCCCTCAAAACCACAGGGCAGGTGGAAAAAAGAGGGAAACCTTCCATCAAGTTAGTCTGGGAGCCTCTACCTGCAAGATCCCCAAACACCTGGAAGCCCCAAAGGGGAGCGTCTGTGTTTACCCGGCTTTTCCAGAACTGACTGATGGCGCACATCCCTCCCCCTCCACGACACTCTCCTTTACAAGAGTCATTCAAACCCGCCAAAACCCTCGCTCAGCAACAAAGGGCCACAGGGCACTGACTGTGTGCAGAGCCTCGGAAAGGGCAGAGAGGCAAACAAGTGTGCAAGAACGCCTCACACCCGTTAGGGTGGCTGCGATCAAAATAGAGGAAAGAGGACTGACTTCCCTGGTGGTCCAGTGGCTAAGAAGCCACCTGCCAATGCAGGGGTCATGGGTTCAACCCCTGGTCCGGGAACACCCCACATGCCTCACTTGGGGCGACTAAGTGAACACGCCACAACTGCCGGGCCGTCCTCTCGAGCCCGGGCTCCCCAAGAACAGAAGCCACCCCGATGGAAGCCGCGTCCTGCAGAGAGCGGCCCCCGCTCGCCACGACTGCAGAGAGCCTGCAGAGCAACCACGGCCTGGCCCAGCCAGACGCAAATAAAGACATGAGGTTTCCACAGCAAACGGAGCCCCGGGGACTGGCGCACACGGGGCAGGGGCGGGCCTGCCTGCTCCCGGAGGGGAAGGGCGAGGGCCGGGGTCAGAAGGCGGAGCTGGCGCCGGCGGGCACGGGGACGGGACGGGAGGGAAGTCCGTCAGAGACAGTCCTCTCGCTGGCCTGTCTGAGGGCTTCCAGAACAGGGCAGGGCCTCCGCAGAGAGGTAAGAGCCGCAGGACCGAGTCCCAGTGACCGCGACGCCTTCGGAGAGCCTGAGCAGAGGAGCGCGTACCCTGCGTTGCCTTTTAATTTCACACCAGGTGCTCCGCCAAGGCTTCTTAAGGGCTGGAGCTGCCTGCCAGAGACCATCAACCCCATTGGCCAGATTGGGGTTCACAAGGCCGCACGGCCCGGAACTAGCGAGCACCCAAGGCCCCACGGCCCCCGCAGCCCCATCTCACAGCGGGCGGCCTCCGTGTGGCCCGCTCGAGGTGGGGGTCAGAGCCCCACGGTGACACGGCCATGGGGGTGGGGGCTTCTGCAGGGAAAGCTACTCACGGCAGCGGTGGGCAGCCTCTGCGTGCAGGCCACGGGAAGGCGAAGCTTCCAGTCTGTCTCCCCGTCCAGCTGATCCGTCCGCAGGAAGCAGGACCCTGTGGAGGGAAAAGGGGGCACCCTCTGTGCACCTGCGGGTCAGGACCCACCCCCGGGCCGTGGGGGCGCCGACAGCTCCTGCTTTGGTCCGTGTCAGGACGGCCGGCCAACGGCCAAGAGGGAAGAAGTGATACCCGACTTCCCGCTTTCGCCAGCAGCTCTGGGTTTAAATCCCCGCTTGTCCACTCACAGCGGGAGCCGGGGCTGGGCTCCTGACCGTGCTAAGCCTCAGCATGTCATGTCTGTAAACTGGGGAGAAACGCAGACCTCTCAAGCCGGCTGCAGAGGATTCAGCGGGGGTGATCATACCCCCAGAAAGCAGCTGGCACAGGCTCACCAGCATTCACGTCTATGAGGTGCAGGCGTTACAAGCACCTTCCCAAGAACCGAAGCTCCTGGGTTCCAGGCTCCACGGCTCACTAGCTGTGCAACTTGAGGCAGCCACTTCCCTCTGAGCCTCAGTCTCCTCACGTGCACAACTGAGGCTATCAGAGCGCCAACTCACACTATGAGGACTAGAGAGCTGCTTCATGCAAACTGCTCAGACCTGGGAAGGACCACGGAACCGTCGGCCGTGACTATCCACCTGCACACGTGACGGATGCCAGCTGCAGCCTGATGTGTGCATGTCTGAGCAGTCAGTCAGCTCCATGTTTCATCAGAGGATCCACCTAATATCCTGACACTGCAGTTAACTTATGAGAACTTTCAGGAAGACCCCTTCCAGTCCATCTTCTGGTTTTGTTTTTGGGGAAAAGAGAGAACACTCTGGGATCCTAATCCATTTTCACTGACAAGGACACAAGGACCAATCTGAGGACAAAGCTGTCGTGTTTAAAAGATTGTTTTAATGGAGTACATTCTACCCTCTTTGGATGATTTAATGTATCATTAGTATACTTTGCATAGTATACTTGATGCAAAGAGCCAACTCACTGGAAAATACCCTGAGGCTGGAAAAGACCGAGGGCAGGAGGTGAAGCGGGCAACAACCGACATGAGATGGTTGGATGGACAAGAGTTTGAGCAAACCCCGGGAGACAGTGAAGGACAGGGAAGCCTGGCATGCCGCAGTCCATGGAGTCACAGAGTCAGACGTGACTGCGTGACTGAAAAACAGCAAATTAAATATGAAACCTCAGCCTCACTTTTACCCAATTCATTACAGAACGAGGCTGCAGCAAGCTCAAAAGAATATAAACGTGGATTTTTCTGAGATTCAAAGGTCTCTGCTTCTGCCTGCTAGGCAAGAGAAAAATGGCCTTGTGTCCTAAGAACACCTTAAATAACAAAAATGAAAAGGAGATTTGAATCAACTGATGAGGTGAGCAGGCAGCAGAGGGTGCAGCCACCCTGGGGAATACAGCCGGGCCTCCAACCCTGCTGGGGACACAGGACCTGTGCCGGCTGAGGGTCCGGCATCATTTCATATGAGGGACGTGAGGATCTGTGGATTTGGTACCCATAGGGGGTTCCTGGAACCAACCCTCCTGGCTCACAGAGAGACAATGGTAACTGTGACAAGTAGGGTCTTATAGGAGACTGGAGAGGTTTATTCAGGCAAACGGGCTGTAACAATAAATAAACGGACGGGCAGGCGCGCCCGTGATCCCACCACTCAGGAGCCGAGGTTGGGAGCAAGGCCACCCCGCTCTCTCCTGCCCCACCTCGGGACACACGTCCCAGCATCTTCTCAGAAGAGAGTGTGTTGCTGTTGGCTTCTGTGTGTTCGACACACTTCCCCATCCCACCAACTCCTGAGGTTGAGCTAAACGCAGCCCAGTGGGGGAAAACGCCCAGCCACCACGTGTGATCCCCCAGCGGTGACTCGGCACAGATCCCACTTTCTCTGTCGTGATCAGAACCTGTTGACCAAGCCCCCTCGTCCCCCCCCATTTTTTTTAAAGACTGCTCTATGGAATTTTTGGTGTGCCTCCATGGTTCCAAAATGATCATCCACTTCTTACATTTTCAAATGATTATTTTGCCAAATCACCACTGAAAGGTTAATGGCTATTTTCAAAATTGATCCCAGATGCTTACCGTTTTTTTCTGATGTCCTCAGGAAGATCATGTCAGCAGGGACCCGCTGGTTCTGTGTTATGAACAGAGAGACTGTTACTGTGAGTGCCCCTGGGTGGGGGATTCTCGTCCCCCTACCCCGGGTCCCCTCGGTGGGGAGTTGGCGGGGAGGGGGAGGCAACCAAAACCCACAGCCTCTTTTAAGTGTCTGCCTTTGTTGGAGACAGACCTGGGGATTTATCCTGTTTTTGAATCTGAAAAATCTTGCGTGCTGCTGTTACACTGCTAATCCCCTATTGAAATCTTATCTCAGAAAGAAAGCTTCCTGTTTTCTGGCGAATCCAACCATTACCTCCTGCAACTGCAGCCCGCAGACCAGGGGGCCCGAAGCCTGCTCCCCGAGCTGGCTCTCATCCAGGCTGTCTGCTGAAACTAAAGACAGACATACGCTGGGCTCATGCTTTCTGCTTCTACCAGTTTTCTGGCTTGATGTTTGGCTTTGAGCGGGATTTAAATACGGAAGTCAAGTAGGAAGAAGCAAAAAAAACGCCACTCTCAAAAAAAAGAGGGACAGCCAACAGCAGCCCTTGTGTAATTGTGAACAGGAAAGTGTGTCAGAGCAGAACGAGGTCTGCGAGGGTCTTCGCAGCTGCCACTCAGGAGAGCTTTGCTTTGCCTCAAATCAACTGTGAGTTCTTAGATTTAATCCTTTTAAAAGAGCAGAGTTCACTTCCTTCAGAAACGAGTTGAGATGCAATCCTTTTCTAAGCAGGTGTGACTCCAAGACTCTCCAGGGCCACCCCTGAATCCAACACCTCCCAGTGTACGCAGTACCAGGAGATGTGAGCCTTGGTTGGAGTAACAAACAGAACAGTGCTACTTTAAAAAATGCATCTGTGGCCTTCTTACTGTTCTCATGTTTCACTTAACGCCTACTCCCCATAAAATGACAGGACAGCACAATGTTTAAGTCAAAAATACGCAACCTAAAATTCTTCAACAGGCAAATGACAAATATTTTTAAGTGCTGATACAGCCAGCGGACCTCTAGGAAAAAACTTTATGATGAGTTAAAAAGACTCCCAAACAAGGAATACATCAAACGGGAAATCAGAGCGTATGCTCTTCGCGTTTGTAAGCGGGATTTCTCGCTAAGCAGCACAGAAACCTTGAAACAATATTTTGTGTCTGTGTCTCATGTTTCTCCCAGGCAAAGGTGCTGGGTGGAACCCAGGAAGCTTATGGCCACAGATACAGGAATCGCGCGGCGGGATTCGTGAAGTCGGTGCGCATGCGCGGGGCGTGGTCACGCGTGAAGTGACGTGGGTGTGACCACGCCCCGCGCATGCGCACCCACGCGGCAGCCGTCACGAGCCGCGAGACTCCGCTCTCACCTTCTCCACGATGATGAGGTCTCCCACCTGGATGCCGGAGCTCTTCACCTTCACCGTCCCTGCAAAGAAACAGGCCCACGATACATCACGTCTGAATTCCTTCCAAGTCCTCGTGTCTCTACAGGGCGTCCGCCAGCCTGCACACCCTGAAGGATGTGCCTCCCAAACTCAGCGGCTGCGGCGTCTCCTGCCTCTCGGAGAAAAGGTTCGTCTACCGCAGAGGCCAGTTCAAAACCTGAGCCGCACACCTGCGAGCCCTGGAAGGATTCACAGGCCTCAAGTCAGGTCTTCTGTGCTAATGGCGCCTTAGAGGCTGTTCTAAACCGGGACTATAAAAGATTCATTCATTCATTCATTCATTCATTCATTCATTCATTCATTCAGGACAGACAGACAGACACACACACACACACACACACACACACACACACACACAGAAATGGGGAAGAAGATTCAAGGTCAGATCCATGGTCAGAAGATCAGCACTGAATTCTCAGCACCACCAAAAAGAAAGAAGCACACCCAAAGTGACGTTTTAAAATTTGCAACTGCTATGCAGTGTGGTTCATGTGGGCGTCACTGGTGGCTCAGCCAGTAAAGAATCTGCCCGCAATGCCGGAGACCCTGCCTCCATCCCTGGGTCAGGAAGATCCCCTGGAGAAGGGAAGGGCCCACTCCAGTATTCTTGGCTGGAGAATCCCATGGACAGAGGAGCCTGGTGGGCTACAGTCCATGGGGTTGCAAAGAGTCAGACATGACTTAGTGACTAAACAACAACAACAACTGTTTTATATGATTATAATCAGACCACACAACTCTGGCCGGATGCTTATCTGGATAAATAATCACAGCCTATATTAAACACGGACTCCATTCTAAGCGCTGTATACACATTGACATCCTGATGGCTTCACTTCCTCCTCTCAATGGCCATCAGAAAAGATACTATCTCTAGCTTTCAGACAAGGGAAGTGGGCTCAGAGAGGCCCCATCTGCCCCCAGTCTCACAGAACAGGCCAGCAGCAAGAGGCACAGCCCCACCTGACTTCAGAGGAAGGAAGAAAAAACAGGAAATTCAGTTCAACTCAAAAAACATTCACTGAAGTGCCATGGTCTAGGAATTCAAAGAAGACAGTCCCCTCATCCTAAAAAAGTCAGTTTCATGCAGGAGTCAACAAAGGTGTCCTGGGAAGAGCAGGACAGTAGATAGTTTAGGTTCTGCAGCCAATAAACAAACTCAAGTCTCCCAACAACTGTTCTCCTCAAAGGCCAATAGTCTTTTGTGCGTTTATGGTGTGAAGTGTAAAGACCTATTCCTGGCTCCCAGGCCAAGGTGGTGGGCTGAATTTGGCCTACCAGCTGTAGTCTGCAAACCCATGAGCTGTGAGAAAGACAGGATAGATGCTGTGAGTGCAAAATAGTGTGTGAAAGGACAGGAGTTAGGTGAGTGCAGGAAAGAAGGAGACCTCCTCCTCTGAAGGAGGACAGAGAACAGTGGCTGGCACCCTGAAGGCACGTGATGACTCACCCCACATTTAAGCCCCTTCAGCTGAATGCCCGCTGGAGGCCAGAGGTTCCAAGGGTGGGCTCCATGGGACTCGCACCAGGGGAGGAGGCAAGAGACACATAATAAGTGAATGGGGTGGGGCATGGGGAGGTGTCCACAAACACTGTACAGAAGCGCTGAGGTCAGACCTGACCAGGTGAATCTGGCTACCAGCATTGGGAAAAAGGCATGAGATGGGAAAAGAGACGCATGAGCAGTACACGTATGTGTGTGGCCGCAAGCCAGAACTCCTTTAGCAAGACCAAAAGCATCACATGGAGCACAGAGACGAAGGTCTGCGGGCAACCAGGTGGCCCAGCACCCTGTGAACACGCCCGCGGAGGACGCGGGTCTTTACTCTCGTGATGGACGGGATTCCCACACAAGGGAGCAACACCACCAAAATCTTCATGCTCCTCGCACCTCCTATTAGGCCCATTCAATAAGTCCAGGGGTCCTGAATCTGCTGTCCCCCACTGTGGGCTCCTTCATCCAACAAACACCCCACATTCACCCACCAGTAACTTGTGCACGCAGCTCAGATTATTTGATCTTATTTTCACATCATTTAATGCCACGGGTCTTTCCAGTAATTCATCACTGCTGAGATGCTTCAAAGCATTCCGAAGAAACAGTTCTTTCTAAGAGGTTCCACAGGGTTTGATCTTTAACTAATGTTTGTCCTTAATTAAATTTTGTCATGGTAACAGTGAGAAGACCTAGTGCTAAAAGGGCAGCTCTCAAGCACGAATGACGTGTAGAAAGCACGATGCAGAGGCCCTCCAGATGGTTAGCTGGTCCCAGCTAGACCCTCCCTCTCCCGAAAAGGGAGACTCCCATAGAGCCTTGCCTTCATAAAGCAGAACTCAAGCCAATGGCCTGAGCCGGGGCACCCTTGGAACCCACTTGCCTTAAGCATCTGTGACGCCACCATCTTTGCAGAGTCAGCTCGTTAGAAACGCATGAATGAACAGGGGGTGTGAAGCACAGAATTCTCTTCCTGCCAGAACAATGCGTCTGGCCCCAGCAGGGGGGGCAACAGGGAAACCGCACACAGACACACTGCTCTTTCTGAGCAGCTTATCAAGGATCTTCCTGGAGGGAAGATCATAAATTCAGCACGTCCCCCTACCCCCAGCCCCAGGTGCCCGTAAGCTTTTCCTTCGCCTGAGTTCACCCCAACTTTCCCAAACATAAATTTACACATTGTCTTTGGTGTTCTCACTGGAATTTACGCTGGTGGCCTGACCCAAACCATCCCTGAGCCTGTGTTCTGATCTTCAAGCCCTACTCACATGTTTTCTCTGAACAGCCAACCCTAAAACACTGTTATAAGTCTTACTAAATAATAACTGCATCTGGATGTGCATGGGCATGTGAGCAAGACAGAGGACAAAATCAGGGGCATTATCCTAAAAAGGTTAATCTAGGGACAGAAGAGGTTTATCCTTTCCTTTAGCATATGTACTTTCTAAATTCTTCACGATGATTTTTCCTTTTTTCTTTTTTTTTTAAGAGTTAACATGAGGGGCTCCTCCAATAAGAAAAAAAATATAATAAATTAAATTAGCTCCAACGTCTAAGTGACCAGGCCCAGACTTTCCCCTTCCAGGCGGGGTTCTGATTTACGATGGGTTAATTTGAACTCTGGCTCTCTGTCCTTCTGCTCTGCCTCAACAAAAACCCCTTTAATCCACTGCACTTGCAGAGCAGTTTCTGACCAACCCCAGCAGGCCGATCCCTCGGACAAACCCTCCTACTGTAATGGGCTCCATGTCAGGAGGAGGGCAGTGGGGGGGGGGGGCACCCTCGCCCAGAGGTCCCTGGGGAGTCTCAGTCACAGCTCCCTCATTAGCATGTGAGTATTCGGTGGGAGGAGACTCAGCTTTTCAGGTTCCACACCTGGGGACCCTCAGACTCACCGGCTCCGCTGAGCCAACACACAGCCCGGAATGCAAGTTTGGACATCTCGGGTCATGCTGCCGTTCTGGGGTGATGAAAACTGTGTGGTTCACAAGTGTTAAATGGACAGCTAGTGGGAGCTGTGCCCAGCAAGGGTGCTGGGCTAGGTGCCCTGTGATGACCCAGAGCAGTGGGATGGTGGGCACGGGGAAGAGGGGGTTCCAAGAGGGAGGGGACGTTTGTACACCTACGGCTGGTTCACGCCACTGAACACCAGAAACCAGCCAACACTGTAGAGCCAATATCCTCCAAATTAGAAAAAAAAAGTCTAGCTCACATCTGCATGCAGAACACACGTGTACCTGCTCCTTCTGATGAGAAAAGGCAAAACCAGAAGCACAGAAGGAGGAAAAGCAGCCGGAAGGAAAGAGAAGGGGAAACAGAGACCCACACTCCGATTCCAACATCACTGGGGGTTTTGCTGCCCACATCCAACATCCGAATGACACGCCCTCTCTGAGGAGGCCTCGAGTGGCAAAGAAACCACCGCTGAGGCAGGACAGAAACAGGACCAGAGTCAGCGGTGAAGAGCCAAGCACGCGGTGGCTGGGATTAACCCTCAGAAAGAGAAGAATCTCAAACCTGTGGAAAAGGTCCAAAACACATGATGTCTAACCGTGCCTGAGCCACTGTGCTGAGCGTTCTACCAACGTTCCTGCAAAAAAGGAAGAGCAGAAACGTTCACACTCTCACGGAGCGCCCCATCTTCCTGATGAAGGGAAACAAGGCCTGAAAAACGGCACAGTGACAGCGACGATGACCTAGACCTTGAGAGAGACGAGGGCCTGAGGCTCCCCTGGCGGCTCGGTGGTGGAGAGTCCGCCTGCCCATGCAGGGGACACGGGTTCAATCCCTGGTCCGGGAAGATCGCTCAAGCCCCGGAGCAACTAAGCCTGTGCTCTAGAGCCGGGAGCCACAGCTGCTGGAGCCCACCCACCCTAGAGCCGGCGCTCTGCAACAAGAGGGGCGGCTGCAACACGTAGCCTGCGCACCGCAACCAGAGAAGGCCCAGGGGCAGCAAGAGACCCAGCACAGTCAAAAATAAAGCAGGTGTTCTGAGAGAGAGAGGAGTCTGCCCTACAGTCCCTTATCCGACTGGAAGAAAATTCTCTATTAACACCCCACTGGGAAGTCAGCAGACCTACTTCCCAAGGGCTCCTATTTTCTGTTCCTTTTTTTTCCCCGTCTTCTCAAGAGACTCCTAAAGCTTCTAGAAACGGAGCCCAGCCCTGTGTATTCACATGGATCCCCTCACCCTTGGGCGAATGGCCTACTCTTTTCATATTATAATTCTTAATAACTTCTCAACAAGGGACCCTGAATTTTCATTCTGCACCACAAATGACACAGCTGGTCCTGCACAGGCGTGAACGCACGCACTCACACCTTCTTCACAAAGTGAGGAGAAGATCTGGTCAAAGAGCCGAAGACACAGAACTGCTCATCTTGCCCCCCAGACCTCCCTTCTCTTTTGGATCCTGTCACATTCAACCTCCAACCTCTTGGCTCTGGGATTTTCACGGATCTTTGCAGAAACTCGACAGAAGTTGG